GTGGCTCCAAAAGGCTGGGAAACAGTTGGTTAAGCTCCTTATATGTCAAATGTGTTACCGTATAAGCTGAATGAAAAAGATGTAAGCAGCTTCCAAGTTTGAAAATTGACATGAACATGGTGATGGAGGGCGTTAAAATGGGATTAATTTTAATTGCCACCAGGGGGAGGTAGCTAGGTTTTTAAAAACACTTCCAGTCATACTAAAGTGTATGAGATAGTGTATGAGCCCCTCTGACGTGACCTCTGCAAAGGTTGTGTGTTGTATGCAAATGTCTAGAATCAGTTTGTTCTAATGAAATGTTCTAGTTTGACTACAGGCAAACTAGCTATTGGTGACATAAAGTGATAGATAACCTTTTTGTCATATATCAGACATATATTCTGTTAGTAAATGCATCACAAGGTTACCTCAAAAACTGTATGTCTAGAATGTCAACAAGCGGCCAGCAGTCAGCTTCACACTGGAACCATTTAGCAAATTCATTTAGAGAATTAATGATGTCAGAAAATAAGCAGCCTTACTATTTCCTCAAAACCATTACTACAAGTCAGGAGTAAGCTGATCTCTTCATCGTTATTCTCAGAGGGCATCATCATGTGTTATGCAGGCAAACAAACTGTATTTCAATGGCTCCATCCACTCGTGCTTAACTTAAATCAGATCATTTCTGCCCTGCTGTCTCCGAGGCAAATTCTAATCCTTCATATGGAGAGCTTTCTCAATGAGGGCATGAACTTATGTGCATATTTACTAATTACTTCTACGAGCATCAATGAAATACTTCACCAAAGCTTTCAGTTGAAGTATCTCTCTGTTTTACTTAAATATTGCCAAAGGTGGCTGATATAAAGCAGTAGCTACACAGCTTTTTGAGGTTATCTTTCACAGCTGAAGTGTCTGAGCAGTGCTACATTTTGTTCACACTTGTATTATCACACTCGGCCGCTTTAGCTTCCTTTATGTGTCCTGCATTGTGAGAGCTTTCTACAGCTATTCTGAATCCGTCGTCAACATGACTGATAGAGACAGGGAGGCCTCTCCTCTGAAGGCAAATGCTGCAGCTTGTCTAGCTGAGAAATGGATGAGGTTGGGGTGGTGTTACTGAGGGCGTAACCCACCTCTAGAGTGTGAACTCTCCTGCTAATGTGTGTGTTTGATTGAGGAATATGTGCCAGTGTGTGTGTAGTGTCTGAAGAAATGACTAATGGCTAAGTCAGCAAGGCCTCTTCAGAGGAGGCGTGGTCTCTAACATTATGCCCTTCACGTTAAAGGAGCATCTTCAGAGCCCCAGTGGGCTGTCCGTCTTAAGCACCAATCCATCACTGTTCTAGACTAGTGCAGCTATATGGGGTTCAAATGTATGCTTTTATTGTTATTTTAAATGGCCTGACATTTGCGGAAAATTTGGCAAGACTTGAGCAATCGTTCACCTTGCTTTCAATCTTTCAGCCTTTCCTAACTAAGTTAACCATGTCTAAATCTAGCAGTCAGAGTTCAGTTGTTGTAGTTACAACAGAAGCTAAAAAGGCTACTGGAAATATGTGGTGTTAATAGTAGATTTCTTTAAAGTACCGTGATAAATATTGCGTGACACACCAACATTTTCTATTGTGTCAGAAATATCTAATGAGTTTAAAGCAGCAGCTTTATCAGCTAAGTTTAAGGTTTCAATTCTACTTTTTAAAGTTTTAATCCTACTTAAGACACACAACAACTTTGTGCAGTGGATAGATGTGCGTTTACAGTGCAGTGGATGAATTCATACACACTCACATAAAGTGCACCTAGTTTGATCTTGCAACACTCAACAGTCTATCTTTCCGAAACTGGCTTCTTGCGAGTAAGAGAGTGGTATTGATTCTTCATCTTACTCTCAGCAAGAAAGCAAGTAAATTTATAGCCCTGCATGTCAGAGAATTCCTCTAAGACAGGTAAGTATTTTCTTTGAAGCATGATTTGAGTTTTTCTTTGTTTTCCTTGGGGGATTTCTTCCTATAACTGTTCATCAAGCTTGTCTTCCATCTGACTATATTTAGCTTCTTCTACAGTTCTGTAAACAACAACAGAAATATAAGAAAGAGAAAGCTTCGCTTCATAGAGATGTTGGGAATGAAAAACTTTTAATAATAAATCTTTTATGTGCTACTTTGTCACTGACGAAACTGATAAGAATTGATGAAAAAATATAAACGGGTTAGAAGTGAAATATATAACAAAACCCTTCCTCTACCATCAGAAGACAAGACAAAGCCTCTGTTATATTCAAACAATCCTTTCATGTAATCATTCTTTCAGCTCAGTTAGGTAATGATATGCCCTCTCCTTTAACTCCTGACTGAATTCCTGATTCATCGTCTTTTGGCTTTTGACATGGTTGTAAGTGACAGACTTTCCCTTTGCTGTTGTGCATGTTTCAGTACCCCTTAGGCACTCCCAAAATGCTGAGAGCAAGCCAGCTTGCCAACTCTTGACATAATTAATGCTCTCCCGTTTGTGTTAATTACCCAACAATGGATCGCTGTTGGCCACGAAGCAACTGGCCATGTGGTTCAGTCATATTCAAGTTGACTGTAGCAGGAAATGTGTGGACAAAAACTTTGAGGAGTACAGTATCTATGTGAAAATGTTCAGTGCTGTTGAAGCCGGTGTAATTATTCAGATAAGAACTCTTTTATCCGAACAGCCGGAAGGGAAACAGCGAAGACGTGTGCATAGATGTGGTTGGATTAAAAGACAAACGTCTAATTTCTTTAATTTATGCTCAGACGATTCTTATTACACCCATAAAGTTATGAGAAAGAGAAAATGGAGCCATTTCCTCCTACTAAATAAAGATTACAAATTTATTATTAGCTAGTGTGAAATGGCTCTGCATAAATTTTGAAATTAAAAAAAAAAAAAATGATGAAGAGCCCTGACAGAAAGACAGATATTTGAGATATTTACCTCCTCAAACCGGAGACTTTGAGGGCCATGTTTCACACCCCCTCCGTGACGGGACACAGACAGAGCTCGGCAGAGAGGCGCTCAGTGGAGATGCAGAAGCACAAGGTCATGAAATTCCCTCCCTTGAAGTCGGTCCTACCTGCGCATGTTGAGGAATTAACCGGAGTGGCACAGGGGATACTCAAGCATTTTTGGAGGGCACATAAAAAGTTTGTTCAGTGGGCTCCTATTGGCCAGGGGTTTTCTGGAGGTGGTGACTAAGTTTTATTACCATCACTTAAAAAGATGCAGAAACCCATATGGCCTTTATGTGAAACGCCTCTGCCCGCTTCTCTTCTTTTATGGTGCCTCCTAATGACATGTGCTGCCTGCGTGTAATTCTCCTAATAATTATCGTCAAGATAGCGAAGGAGCAGCCGGAGAGTGATGAAATGTGGATTTCATAATCATGTTTACTCATCAGTTTACCTGGAGAAGGCATGTTAGCCTGTAGCGCTGAAGAAAGCCTTGTTATTACCTTGAAGGGCCTCAGGCAGACACACTGTTTATGTTTCCTGCCTGTTGTGCAGTTGATTCTTTGTTGTTAGGTTCTTAGATCTTCTGAAGTGAAAACCAAAGACTATGACGCGGTTTCTTGCAATACAGCTTTCGTTAGCATGCACAGGTATGCTGACATGTCTCACAGGGCTATGTTGCCCAAGAATATGTCAGAGGAGGCAGGAACTGCTTGGCTCATAGGCACTCTCTGTGGAAAAAAGAAAAAGAAAACCCCTTTTAACCACAATTGCACAAAAAAATGCCTTGGCTTTGACAAAATTACATGCCGCAGTGTGTTTTTATTCATAAGGCTGTTTATTTTTTTATATTTCCCTGGGGTATATATTGATCCTGGCAACTGCTGTCCCTTCTATATGATGTGATATTGTGAATCAATAGCCTCACAGTCTTCTGATAGTCAGTTTACTACCAGAGTTTGTTACTATATCATATTTCACGAATCGATTGTTTGTGTAGCCACACCAATGCACTCATCTCAGAGAGTTGTAAAGGAAACACGATACAGATATTGGCGCTCCTCAGAGATTCAGCAGAAAGATCATGTGTCCAGCCTGGATAATGAAGACCTCCTGCTCTCAATGAGACAACATGCAGAGACGGCGCAAGGAGAGAGAAAGAGAAGGCATTTTGGGATGATCCAGCCATGAGACTCGCCACATGACCAGGCAACTTGTGATCTGGAGTCAGATGAGACCCTCTAGTTTTTTTTTAAACCATCGAGGAAATTTTTTTATACCCTGAGAAGTAACAAACATACACACAAGCTTCAAATGTGGCCTCATTTCACGTGAGCTAAAAGGCTACAGCATTGTTAGCTAACGAGCTAAAGAGTAAGATAACAGAGGTTTCGCTAACTCCACACTGTAGCAAAAAGAACATGCTATTGTTGTTTCTGGGGTGTAAAGTAGTGTAGTTTTAGAATAACTACTGGTGTCTCACACAATGTCTTTGGTAATGGTGTGTCCAAATTCATAGGCTGCACCCTCCTGAGGACCCCGGTCTTCGCGGTCTATGTGGGCCGGGTCCTCCGAAGGCCCAGTGTTGCCATCTTAGCGACTTTGTCGCTATATTTAGCAAGTTTTCAGACCCCCTTAGCAACTTTTTTCTAAAAAGCGACTAGCGACAAATCTGGTGACTTTTTCTGGTGTTATTGGAGACTCATTTATGACGACTTTTTGACGTGAAAGCGCGTATCGCTCTTACTCTCAACAAGCAGCGGTGCTGCCATGGGCACCTCGCCCGTGCCAAAGCGCTCACGGGCGGAGGATAGTCCTCCCCAGCTGCTATCAGGGCAGGAGATGTTCACATCTATGCGTCACAACTGCAAATGAATCGCGCGTGAGCGAAGCCGCTGCTCCCGCACTGACTGTAGCGCAGTCAGTTCTTCTTTTGTTGTTATGTTGTTTTGTGGATCACAAGGGTTAACTACTTATAAACACACACAAAGTAACTCTATCAGAGTGCCTATTTCGGGTCACTTTGCCGGTCCAAACCTGGATAAAGGAGTAGGGTTGGAATTGTGACATTAAAAAAAACAATAATTGCTAAAAGAAAGTTAATTTGTAGTTCTAAATAAATTCTAAATGCATTTAGGACGTTTTTAACTCACTTTATGTCTCTTCCACAATGAGACATAAACCTACAACCGAGGTTACAATTACATTAGCATGACCAATTATGCAAATACGGCGATGACGTCATTTAGCGGTCAGCCAATAGCGGTTTTCCTTACTGAGGAGTTGGCAACACTGCGAAGGCTGGATAGGCCGGAAGTGAGCAGCTGTGAAATTGGACGATCTAGCCTTCAGTTAACACTGCTAATGCTGGGAGGAAGCTAAAGATAATGCTAACAAGACTGAATGCACTTTTCATTTAGTGGTGGAATTTAGCCGTTGACTAGCATTAGAGAGCCAAAAGATGCTAAAATCATCTTTAATGAAAAACGCCAGTCCTAACGTGAAACATTAGCTATTGTAGCTGTTCCAACTATAAATACATTTAAACATATAGTTAAAAAAAAAACTATATGTGAAATGAAAACAAAATGACAAATACTGTATGCTTAGTACTGGAAGTCTACATGAATGTAGTACTGTGGAAAGAACACATTTCTTTGTTTTGTCAAGTTTGTGAAATTCAGATGTGATAAACACATTTGGTGGATTATAGTTTTTGTTATTGGCAGTTTCACTCAATTTTCTTTTGTCTGCATTTGGACTTCTTTTAACAGAACAGTATTTGGTTTTATTTAACAACTTTACTGTTCAGAAAGCAGCAGGAAAATATTGCTTAGGACCATCAAACAGTTGTAGTTTTTTGCTTTTTAGCAAATATGACTAATATCCAAGTGTGTGTAACTTTATTTTAGGTATAAAAGGTCATCAGTGTTAAGACTCACACAATTTTCAACTTCATTAGTGATAGGGATTAAAAACAAATGCCTACATAAATCTATCAAGTCCAACTTGATAGTAGAATTAAACAGATATCGCATTTAATCGCAATAATAAGCAATGCAAGCTTGATATTGGACTCTCAGAAAATTGGTGCCCTTGCTGTATAACCTTGGGAAATTCAGCCAGTTTTTTTTCTTTTCCCAGACTATATAGTCATCTGGCCTCTGGCAACTGCCTGAAAAACTGAAAAAAAGAAAATCAATAGTGCTCCCCTTTTAATCAAGAGTGCTTGGAGCTTATGGCAGAATGCCACAAGAGAAAAGCAGCAATTGACTTTGCATTTTTAAGCAGAAGGTGAAGCTTAGAACACAGGAGAACTGTTATCCAGCACTCACTTGGTGAATCAGAGACACAGAAGAACCAAACAAATTGTTAGAGGAAACTAATGCTCTGCTGCTGACAGCAGTTAAACACACAGTTGCCATAGCCAGCAGATTATGGGCATTTTTATTCATTTGTTACATAATCCTCCCCTCCCCCTTATCTGACAAGTGATTAGTCAGTGAAGAGTTGTTTAACCAGGACAGATGGCTTTTTAATTGTACCTGATTGCCAGGAACAAGCTAGACAGTGGCTACTGTGTGAATTTATTGTGTCTTCAAGAAGAAAACCTAAATCAGGAATCCAGATTGTTGTCTTACATGATCAAAACAATCAAACAGATGAGGTCGTCCACCCAATGATTCAATATGTGTTATTCTAGGGGGCAGAAATTGCTTACTGTATCATTTTGTTTGGAGTCATAGCATTTTCCAGCCATTTGTTTTGATTTTACTGCTTCTAACTTTACTGCTATGCTTCAATCTCAGCAAAATCTCCATCAGGAGCTGTATTTAGAAACACCCACTGTTCTGCTAATCATTATCAGGTAGGCTATGTTTAGAACTAGTTGGTTGAACACAGTGGAGGATTTAGCCAATAAACTTACAAATACACAGCTGAAGTGTTGGTAGTGGGTAAAATACAGACAGGAGAATGCATCGGTTTTAGGGCCATAAACCTGTGAGAAGCCAGAAAAATCTCACAGGAAAACAAAATGGCATTGAAAACAAAACAGGTAAGGAAATCCTGGACAGTTTAAACGATGAACAGCACTTTTGGGTTGCAAACACAAAGCTAACATGGAAGTGCAGATCTTATTCAATGAGCAGTAGGGAGCGACTCCACTGGTTCCAAAAAGACTTCTGGTTGTAATAATCATCTGTTGGAGAAATCCTTGCTCCCATGCTCTGTGGCCTCCATGAACACTTTCCTGATAAGTTTATGGGTGAAATTGCTAGTTTTAGCCCATTACCATGGACTGGATCTACCACGGATGCATAATGGACACGGCTAAGTAACGGATTCTAGTTGCACAACAAAATGAATATGGAACAGATCAGGACTGGAAACCATTTGGATGCAGTCATTTCCCAGTTCATTCAGCCCGGATCAGATACAGATCCATTCATGTACAAGCTCATATGACCTAGATCCATTTTATATTTTTTTATTTTTATAATTTCAATTTAAAAATGTAAATGTTTTATGACTTTGTAAATTATTATCCAGGATATGCTCCTTGGCTAATGACTTGTCAGTCAGATCCATCCTTTGCTTTTCACATCCAATTCCAAACACCACACTGTTACTGTAAAATATAATGTATGCTAATGGCTCACACAATAAAACATAAATAAAGAATTTCTTGCGTCTGTTTGAATAGGAATGTTGATTTGTTAACATTATTATGGTAATACACATGTTGTTAAAGATATGATGGATAAAAGAAACTTCCATCCACCCCAATCTCAATTCTATTCAAACTTTGTTGCCATATAGCAACCTCAGAGGATAATTATGGGTTATAATCAAACCGCTTCCCAAAGAAACCTATGGTCACCTATCAAACAGCTCTTTTCTCTAAGTAATCACGCATTTCATTTTTAGTCATTATTATTTTTCCTTCCACTAAGCCCAACAGTGTGTCCAAATCACGTGACGTCCGCCTGCTTATTATTGCAATAACACTTTGTTTGCATAACAGCCACCCTTTTGTTTCTTATCATGGTAATTTCCGCGTGCACGGTTCACTTCAGCTTTTAGGGGGCCGGCTCTGACGTCAGCCCGCCCTGCCGGACGGACACCAGCAGCACTACGCTGACTGGGTGCTGCTGACTATTAATATTCACCTTGTGAAACTATCCACAGTCAGTATATGCGGTCAGCGTTGTGCACAAAGACACGGCCACTCAGCGATACTTTTCCCAAACTGAAATCCCCTTCAGGGGAGGGAGGGAGAGAGAGAGACGGGGAGCGAGAGGGGACTGCAGAGCACACAGGGTCTGGATGAATAACCATGGCAACAGCAGCAGCAGCAGGAGAAGCGATGATATAAACATTTACATCCGCGCATCCGTCCGCAAACAGCAATTCACTCCAGTAGAGGCTTGGACCAGAAACCCTCTGCGGATATCACTCCACATCAGCGCTAAGGTGAGGCTGTTTCATTCCTCATGTGACACCTTCCTCCTCTGCCTTTTGCTGGCTGGTTTGTTGTCTTCGGAACACGAGAGGATAGAGGGAAGCTTAGCTGTCATACATTACAACAGAGAAAGCTGCTTTCTCTAGTACACTGCTGCTCGGCGCCAGAGCTGCAAGGCTCACGGGTTTGCTTAAAACACGGAGGCTAACGGGTTAAATTCATAGTCCATATGCGTTTCCTCTGTATGGCAGCTGAGGGTCTCTGTCTGACCTATTGCATATATGTGGTCACCACTGAGGAAACAAAACATTTAAGCCCACTCTACAGTGATAAGCTGAAGAAGCAATGGGGAAAATACATGTAGCTTTCAAAATAAAAGCATTGGTAATTGTCTTTAAGCAAGCCACATACTACAGTGTGGTTTAATTTTGATAACTGGCAACTATGTTTGGTGCAGCACTGGATTTCTTTTGATAACAAAGGATTTTTGTCAAAGCTGTCCCTCTGTAGGCTCAAATAATGTAACACAAACACAGCAGAGACTGAAACTTGTGTGCAAAAATGCTAAAACAGACATAACTGATAACATAAGGGCAAATAGTCTTCATTTAATAATGCTGCTCATGTACTAATGTGACAATTTCAGGGACTGGGGTAGCTGACTGATCTCAAAATGTCATTATAGAACATAACGCCGAGGTTAGAGTACTTTGAAACCAGTTAATCCAACACCAAGCATTCCATTTTAATGCCCATCTTCACACTTTTAACTAGTTTTTTCTTTGGACAACGTGACCAGCACTCGGTTTCCATACAAGTGCTTCAGAGTTGTGAATACAAATAGTACGTCTGTTTGCGGATTGCATGCAGCCCTCCAAACACCAGCAGAAAAGCCTTTTGATCTTCAGAGAATCTAATTTGGCGATTGCAACGATGCCAGTCACATCCTCTCAAAGTCATATTCTGATTCATTTAACTCCATAACTCGGCCAACTCCTTCTCTCTCTTGTTCTCTTTTGTTTTTATCCTTTTTTTTTTGCAGGGATTTGGCATTGTAATATTGTAATTTAACAACAGAGAGCATAATACAGCATCATGGAGGGGTTTTAGCAAATGCTAGATTATGCCATCACATGATTGCTGGGCTGGCTCAGTGGATTTCTGTAAAGTGCCACTCCACATAACCAATTTGCAGATAGCTTTCTCTCGAAATTAGAGATGGTGAAAATGATGGATTTGCTACAGCAACTGTGATTTGATACCCTTGCTTATAAGACGGTGCTGTAACCTAACTGCCCTTTGTCACATATTTGGTGACAGCTTTTTGTTGTTGTGTGAGCATGAGAGGGATGTAGATGTTAATCAGTGGAATAATGTCAGAGATTAATTTCCGGTTCTTTGAGCTATGTGCACATACAGCAGCTCATGGCAAACAATGACTCTCTGTCTTACAGTGACATTTATGCCTGCTAAGCCTGCAAAAATGTGCTTATTTCACACGCAGACACTGTGAACGTGTTGCTTCCTCATCCATTCTCAAATTGACACTGGAGATGTCAATCGGTGGAGCTGCAGCAAAGGAAAGAGGGCAGCTTAAGGGCAGCAAAGAGTTTTTAGGTTTTCCTTAAGGTGGTAGAATTAGCCAAGTTGCAAACTCTAGACCTCCAAGAATGCCAGAGTGTGTGGTGTGTTTGTGGCCTGCATTAAATAATAATAAGACAGCGGATGGGTGTTTTGCAACGATTAGTGTTTAATGATTTGCTTCTAGTAAGAAAGAGATAATTCACAAAATTGCACAAGCAGAAAATTCCAAGTGTAGTTTGGCTACAGGTTATGTAGAGATGTCTGGGAGCTGTGCTTGAACACAGTTAATTAAACAGTGTATTAAGGACATTGTATGAATGCAGGAATGTGTTTTTACTTGTTATGTTAGTTGACATCGACCTGTTAATCATTCAGGCATAAAAGAGGCCTCTTAACTCAAAGGGTAAGCCAGTGTCTACACATAACACACCTCTTAGAAAAGAATCAAATGTAAATTGTACCTTTAGGCACTTTGTCACTAGCAGCATGTTGCAAAAACTCAACATCTGTTCAATTTATTTTGTCAAATCTACAAAACAAACAGACAAAAAAAAAAAACTGTTTAGTATTTGTGCACCAGCACACCGATTCCCAAACATGTATTATCTAAAAATAGGGCTTATAGTGGAATCGTGTGCAATGGGTTTATAAAAAAATTGAGGAAATTGAACAAATGGAAGAAAAAAGAAAGTTGTGAATTCTATTTTCTGCAAGAGTTATGCAAATTGAACAGTTCTTACTGGGAATAAAATAAAACTCTGTTGTTGTACTATTTTTGGGTCTTTACCTTACAATATAAAGCGCCTTAAGGTGACTGTTGTTGGGATTTGGAGTTATATTAATAACACTGAACTGCATTGGAATTTTCTCTTATTCCTTAAATGCCAGCATTTCAATTTCAGTTCCACAGGCATGTAGATTCAACTTGTTCACTAATTTCTTAATGCTGACATAAAGGTACAGAGAATGCTTTAAAAGGTCCGATGCTGCAGTTTAGCTGGTGGGGCGTTTCATCAACCAAGATCATTATTGTCATCGTCATGAAAAGAAACACAGTGTGTCTCTCTTAGATGACTGACAGCTGTATGCCCCTGGAGCTGTCAGCGTGGGTGCTTTGGTGTGTGCCTCTCTGATTTGATTAACGTATTGATGAATTTTCAACACAGGCTGATAATCAGTGCATGTGTCTGGGTGCTCTTGCAGTGTACTGTAGGCTGCTGATTGTTTCACTGGGAAATAAAAACATATTACAGTAAGTCCCCGGCCTGTGAGCTTCCATTTTATCAAGTACACAGTGTTCATTCGACTTACTGCCTACCTAACACATT